TCATTAAATTGCATTCCACTCGAAACGCGGTCGAAAGAGTACAAAAACTTGTTGCCCGCCTTTAGGCGCGGGCGTAATTTGCATGTTGTGAGTGCTCCATTGAATATGCTCCTTGTTACCACGTTCCCATTGGCTGCCCGCTAATTGTTAAAGCTTGCAATAACAATAAGACAAATGCTAAAGCCAAATGTCTGCGGCGTTCAGTCAGACAGTCAATGTGTCAGTGCGTCAGTTTGTCAAGTGAAAATTACTTTTGAAATGCTGTCGGGCTGTCATCAGCTCTGCTGCTGTTGTACTCGTAGCTGTAGCTGTAGTTGTTGTTGTTGCAGTGGCTTATTGCCCTACGTGACCCAGCAAAATTAATGCTGGTGGGCTGGCTTGGTATATGGGGGGGCGTGGCTGTATAAATTATAAGCCTTGAACTTTTGACAAGCGTCAAGGCAGCGCCGAAAAACAAGTGCTTGAGCCTATTTGGCAGCTCTGATAATCACACGGCGTATGAGTGATATTTATTTAATGCTGAGATACACACACATACACATACACACATTCACTATATGTACATGAGTGTTTGTGTGTGTGTGCTTGTGTAGTAAGTAGTTATGCAAATGTTAAGCACACAGCCGCCTTTTGACCCGAAAAAGTCAATACGAAAAACTCTGCACATGGCCACAGCACAACATCCACACACACACACACCCACCCACACACACACGCATACAGGCGAATATAGATGCAAATACAACATACAACAACAACGCATCGCTGAGCACTCGTCTTACTCGCTTGCTGTCGGGAACCTTGGCCAACAGCTGAGGCTGCCACAGGCGACAAAAGTTTTACTTTTATAATCATTCGAATTGAGGAATGAAAAGATTTTGCATATAAATATAGATATAGCTGCGGGAACAAATCGCTGGCATATTGTGTTTGCCAAACTAAATATGCAAATTTTATGAAACAAATCAATTCTATAAAATCTCGAACAAATGTGCTTTTAGCTGGGTTAAAGCCTAAGCCGCATAAAAGAATAGAAAAATGAGTATTTATATCTTTAAATTAAAAAGAAGATGAGGTTTAAAGTTTAGCTTAAGAGCGCAGAAGGTTTTAATTGAATTAATCAGCAGTCTTTGGGACTGTGGATAGGAAATAAAAGTTTTGATTAATAGCTTTGATAAAGCAGTTGATTCAGCTGAAATATAATCGAATCAATCAAATCAGCTAAAGTGCAACATTTAACATATTTTTTTGCAAGAGAAAATAAACTAAATGTAATAAATGTACTTACCCAGCTGTGTAGAGTATTTATAGTAGGGAAGACTCGAGTCACAGGCCAGGATACGAGTGTTCTCAAAAGAAGAAAGGCAAAAAGTATTTTCTCTATGAGCAGAACTTAATTATAATAATAATAGAACTTTTGACACCAATATATTATTATTAAGAAATAAATACTAATGCTATAAAAAAAACTTATAAAAGTATTAATAAAATTAAAAAACATTTTTTTTATTATTTGCCCTAATGCTATATTTGTCGAAAGCAAAACCGCCACATTTGTCGGCTGTCGTCTGGTCTCCCTGACTACTGGATCCCCTACCAAGAAAATCGAATTGCGAAAGTGTAAACTTAATTAAGAGCATTGCGAGGAGAGTTGATTTTGTTTGATTTACGCGCCAGCAGCCCTCTTCGCTGTAATTATGTAGCCTTCGCCGGGCATATATAGTACTACATATATACATCTATATATATATGTATGTATAGATGGAGGTCAAAGGCAATGCGTAGGCGGCCCAGGGCCAGGCGTCAAGCGGTGACCAGCTGTCGCTGATTACCCAAAAGAGGAAGAAAAAAAATGTAAGGACGCAATCCTTGGCATTTCATGGCTCATTAGGCATGCACATACGTTTGCACCCGCGTCAAGAGCACAAAACCCAATACGCTGGGTCGCTAATACAACAAAACCCACAGCCCATACCCCACCCTTTTTGCGCTCCCCCGCGCCCCACCTCTGGTGCTTCCCGCTGGCAGCAAATTCAATTTTCTACGACGCCGATTTGGTTTCCGCACGTCTTAAGCTATCGTCGCCACCTCCTACGGCGCTGCCATGAATATAGTTATAGCCTAACCAAGTTCAGGTCCTTCTCGCTCCTGTCTCCTGTCTCGCTCTCTCTCTATCTCTTTGTATGTGGCACTCGATACCGATTTGCGCTGCAAAATAAATGATAAGAATCTGTGTGCGCGCTTGCTCATGAATTACAAATCGCATAAAGGATTTGCCACTAGCTCAAGAGGACCACTCGACTGCAGCAGCGCCAGGATGCAGCTTGTTTGTTTTGGATACGAGCAGCAGCTGCGGGAGTGAGACCGTTTTCGGACTTGGGAGCGTTACAGTGTGGCCAACTCCGCTTGTTTTCAGTCAAATCTGGCTTTTTTTGGAAAGAAAATACGAATTGTTCTTTTTTTAATACTCACATTAAGATTTTTCGGTTTTCTCAAAAGTTGGCAATCCTGGAAAGTCAGTTTGCATTTGCATTTGTTTACAAGTATAATTCGCAATTTAAGCGCAGTTTAAGCGCATTTACCATCAAGTAGGAATATATCGATTTTTTTTGTTTTTTATAAAATGTAGAATTTGTCAGCTGCTTTATTATGACTAAATTAATTTTTGTCTTAGCCCTAGTCGTTAAATCGATTAATTATTATTTTTATACGAATCAGATTGTTGAGTTCTCCAGCATTATTTATAACTATATACTAGAACTAATTATTATATATTTATAAATATATGTACATATATCATTTTTACATTGCAGAAAAAGTTGTCGTCATTCGCTTTTGTAGAAAAAATTATTATCACCGTTTTTTTTCTTTCTAAATTGTTTTGTTATTTTGTTCTTAGTCGAAATTGAAATTCTTGTTGGAATTTTGTGTACAATTTTTTAATATTTGCATTTTTGTAGTATGCTTATAGGAAAATAGCCATTCTAACACTTCTAAGTAGACTAGTTCTTGAAATTTTACAATAGATTATTGTTCTTGGTATTGTTTGTTTCTTATAGGTATATTATCAAGAGATACGACAAGTTAATAATTCGGAATAAAAAACTTGAATACAATTTTACGAGTAAAGGCAGGGCTTTTCCATATGAAATTTAGAACAATAATTGGAATTGAAAAATTGTGGGGAGGAGAGGTTACAAGTTTTTGAGAAGAAAACAAAAGAAACATTTGTTTTTAGCTTTTTTATAGTTTTGTTGTTTACGGAACAGCCATTTCTTTGGGGTTTATTATATATATAAAAAGCATTTGCGGCAGTCGTTGTGGTTAGTACATATATATATATATATATATATATATATGCTATATATATGTAGAACATTTATGAACTAACCTTATATGGCAAGTTAAAGTTTATTTTCTATTATGAGCACAATTCAGACAGATCAACTTCATGTGTGTGTGTGTGTGTGTGTGTGTGTGTGTGTGTGTATGTCTGTGTTTGAGAGAGAGTGTGAGTGTGTTTGTGTGAAATCCTGGAATTTTACAAACTTCTTAAGTTGCGCTCTTAAAATATGCTAAGGCCACATTTAATTTCTTTAAATATATATATATAATACTACATTTATTATTTGAGCACAATATGATCAAGGGATGGAGAAAATGCGAAAAGCGAAAATTTAATGAAGCGACTATCATTTGTATTATGCACACATTAATTATGACAAATGTGAGTGGAAAGAGAAAGAAACGGGTGGACAGAAAAGAACAAAATTTGTCGAACTGCGTAAATATATCTTAATGAGCTATTATTTAACAAAGACCGCAAATGTAAACAGAGAGAAAGGTGTAAGATAATAGAAAGGTGTACATGAATTTTCCAATTCAAAAGGATGTGAGTTAAAGTCAGGTATATAAATAAAGCATTTAACAAAATACTCTTGAGGTAGTGCCAAGTGTTTCGGGAATAACAAAATAAATAAATAAACAAGAACAGTAGACGTATCTATAGAAAAGCAGGAAGAGTTATTGAATAAATGAGATTTGATGAATTAATGGCAGAAACGGCAAAAGTTATTATTGAATAGTCGGTAAATGTAATTAAATCAGTAAGTATTTCTTGGAGACAGCATTTTCTTTGTAATAGGAATTATGACAAAAATGTTGGAGAGCTCATGAAGAATACTGAAGAATAGTAAAGAATTAATAAATATATGTGGAGAACTTAATTGGAAAATAACTGCAGAGAATTGAATAAAAACTATTCAAAGTGAATTTGAATAAAACAATAACCGAATCCTATTGAATGTGGAAATTGGGTGAATGTTAAGAATTTTATGGAAAATGTTTATTAAATGTAAAAAGAGCAATAAGGGGGATAAAAATAGCTGAGGAAAGAGTTTAGAGCTCAAACAATTGAAATGCGAGTATGAATACAATGTTATAACAGCTCAGCTGATAAATGTACTGTGATTTAGTAAAATGTGAATTTGATAAGAATTTGTGTAGGAATTGTGAGTCAAAAAGTTAACAAGGGCAATAAGTAAGAGGGATATATGTTAATAATAAATGAAAAATGCAAAGAAAAGAAAGTTGGCAGATAATTGCTTAAAATGCGAATAAGCAAAAGCATTAACAATAATATAAAAATAAATAAAATGTGAATTCAATCTGAATGTAATAGATGTATATAAATGATAAACGATTAATTAAAAAGAAAAATAAAATGCAAATTACAATAAATTAAAATATGAAGCGAATCGAAGAGCGACAGAAAGAATATATTTATCAAATGTTCAGAATTTGTGTAGGAAATGTTAACAACAAGTGCAATCGAATTAAGGGAAATGTGTAAAGGGAAACCAAAACAACGGCAATAAAAATAATTAAAATTGGAAATGATGAATCAAAATCGAAATAAAATTGTAAATGCTGAACAGCTTATAAAAAGCATGTGTAATAAATTTAAGGTCAATAGATAAAACTGAGACACGAGAATCGAATGAGAATGCGAATAAAATGTCTTTCTTTTCCAGCTCATCAAAGCTCCTAACCTAGCAGCATAAGCGTAAGTGTAGCTTGGCAATATTCTCATCATAGTTACATATATACAGCCCATAAGAATAGTGAGAGAGGGTGTAGGGTGTATAGGTGTGTCCACACCAATACATGTGTGTTGGGGTTTATCGGGTTTTATATACCCTTGTCCGAGTTGCATGCGCATTATCACGCCACGATGGCGGCCATTGTTGATGGGTGATGCGACAAGTCGGCCGCCGTGTGATGATGATGATGATGATGATCATCAGGCTGATGATGATGATGTGCCAACGCCTGGCCAGAAAGTTGTGCTTGTTTTTGTGGGTGATGGGAAACGTGATGGACCGGAAAGCTCCACAGTGCAAAAGGCATCTGCTGTTGCACCAACAAAAGCAGTTGGCGTAATTTGTTGGTCGTTGTTCTTGCTGTTGTTGTTGTCACCCTGCTCGTTGTTCGTGTTGTTTTTGTTATTGTCGTTGCCGCTGTTTCACTCGCTGCTGCATCACATGCCGCAGCCATGCCCTCGCCGTCACCGTCGCCGTCAGCGTCGCGCGTCAGTGGCACCTGCTTGGCGCAGCGCATCTGCAGCTCGCCGCGTCGTCATTCATCCCAGAGGCACTGTTGTTTCTGCCGCACATAATAGGTGAACTGTGTACACTTGCGGCAGGTCTTGATGCCGCAGCGATAATTCGTCTGCTGCTGCTGCTGCTGTTGCTGCGTCCCGGACGTGTCGCCCCCCACGCTCTTGCCCTTGCAGTACTTCAGTCCGCACGGATACCAGCCGATGCAGGTCTCCAGCGTGCACAGGCAGGGCGCCCACAGGCTGCTCACTTCGTTGCAGCGCGTGGAGAGCGCATCGGGAAATTTTTCGGTTGCTGCCTCCAGGCTGGAAATCGAGGAGCCTAACCGTGCAACAACATTTAAAAAAAAACACCACCACGCGCGTTGACAAAAATGAGTCGGCAAAAAAAAATATAAGTGGAAGGAACAAAAACAAAATGCAAATGAAAATTGTGTAAGTAAAAGTTGAATTCACAAATACGCGCAAGCAGCTCTTTAGCAATTTTCCATTCGATTTTCAGCAACTTATCACACGGGAAATCATGAACTTGAAGTTCATTTCCATTTTGGTTTATGATAGAACAAACTGATGTTGACTATTTGTCAATCGGAAACAATCAGCTTTCACCTATTTTTCGATCTTTAGGGTGGATATTTCAATTGTGAAATCACGTTTTTATTGATCTCCCCAAGACTTTCTTCTGGCCCCAATTTTTCAGACAATGGAAGGTCCCCTGAAATGTTTCTAAAGAAATTAACTTCTAAGCGATCGGATCAAATCGATATGGATCGATTCATTGTTCGATTTTCATTAGAAACAATTTCCCCAGCCAGAAATTTCACAATGAATTTCTCGTTTGAAGATTTGCAAATTGATTTGAAGCCTACACAGATGGTATATATAAATTGTTGTATGATAAAGCCCACGCATTTCCGAACGTGCTGATGGAATTTGCAATTTAAATGTGGTTGTCAAAAAAAAAACGAAGTTTCCACAAATTTTTCACGCTTGTCGGTGAAATTTAGCATCACATTAGCATTATGAAATATGTCGATTTATAATTCTAGTTCAACAGACCATAAAACTAAAGCCAAATATAGCGAATCTTTAATCTATTTTAAGTTCTAAGCATTTCACTTGTGGATAAGTCAATAAAAATCAATTGGAATTACCTTTCGTGGATGCTGCTAAAGGCGGGACTGTAAATAAATAGGGACTTCGACTTACCTGGCAGTTCCGCCCAGGCCTTCAAATCCACATCCCGCACATAGGTGGCATCGGTGGCCTCCGCGCAGAGGGATTGCAGATGCCGTGTGATGGGCAGCGAGCGATTTAGCTGGACCCAGCTGCTCATGGTGTAGGTCTCGCGTCCCTTGTCCTCCTCGGGTGTGCGTATGGTGTGCGGGTTCTTCTGGCGCAGCTTGGCCATTGCATCCGATGAGATGAAATCGCCCTTGTTGAATTTGGTGGCAAAGCACATGACCTGATACTGGCTCTGGCCGCGCTCCTCCTCGCCCAGCACCAGAGCCTTAAGGATTTGCACCTCCTGAAAGAATATGGTTGTTGGTATCATTTCTCATTTTTAGTTTCGAGTTTTTATTTGTTGCGCTTACGTTGCGAAAGTCGATGAGCTGCGTGATGAGGGTGCCGTCGGTCTTCTGAAACTCGAGGGTAATCAAATCCTCGCCAATATTGGACGTAATGCTCTCTTGTATAACTTCGCCGCCCTGCAAAACCAAGAGAGAGAGTAAGAGAGATGCAACAAGTGTAAGAAAATTCAACTTGACTCTGTGGTGTTCACTAGAATATTAATAGAGACAGAAATGAAAGCACACAAGACGCTGCTACTGCTTGCAGGACACAAATTAACTGGGACTGCCGCAGGAGCTGCGCGACACGGCCCTGAACCAAATTAGAGTCAAGAGACTCGGCTAAAAGAAATAGTGGGAATGCAAACATAAGAAAAATAAGGCAAAACGAGTTGAGGGATCCTCTGAACTCGACTCAGGGGGGTCCATCACAAATGTAGTTCAACAACATGACAAGCAGAATACACAAAAACAACAATACGTTCACAAAAGGATTGTCCTTACGAGCGCGCTCCCAGCTGAACTTTCGCGCGTGAATATTACACACAGAAAGCAATATACTTTTTCATCATAAACACTTTTATAAAAAATCTCAATGACTTTGGGAAATTCAACAAAAATGTTTATAGATCTTCGTTTTTTGTTGAAGTTTAAGTTTTAGGAAATCAACTTTATTGTAAAGAGAGAGAAAGAGAGAGAGTTAGCGACAGAAAGGGAGAGAATATGTTCCTGCTGTGTAGTTTTTAATATCCGTACTTTAGAAAATTTTTTGTTACTGTAATGTTTCTCTCTAAGCTATTTGAAATGTGGACTTTTTATGAACACCACGAAACAAACATTTGTCATCTTCGTCTATGAATATAAACAAAAATCTCTCTTAACAATTAAAGCTAAGCATTTTCACATTATTTTTATTTATTATTAATTTTTACATGTCTGTATACATTAATAAATAAGGGAAAATATGGATTTTAAGAAACTTGTTAAGAAAAACGTGTATTCAATACAGCTATCCGTTTATGAATCTTTCACAGTATGTACATTATTATTTAAATAGAAACCGTTTGTATGGAAGATGAGATTTTTCAAATATCAGAGTTTCACGCAAATAAAAATCATCTCTGAAAACGCATACAATTCTTTCAATGTTTCTTTGAACATCAATAGCTATTTGTGCGGACATTAAATATTATATAAATTAACCACAAACATTAAGATATAAAGAAAATATATTAATTTCTGCCCTATATTCACTAGGAATTAACGTTGCATTTTCAAGCTGTTTATTAAACGTGACCTTTGTACACGCAAATTTATTTCTACATAGAATTCAAATTTTCAAATCCAAAAAGTTCAGCTGGGTATGCACGTGCATATATGTATCTTTGTGTGTGTGTGTGTGTTTAATGTGGTCTGTTTGTGTATGCATTGCCTTTGTGTGTTTGAACAAAGCGAATGTAAACAAAGCTCACGCTGAGAGCAAAAGCAACTGCGACGTCGGCAGCGACGTCGACGGAGTCCGACATTTTGGGGCCAGGGACAGCAACAAAACAGCAGCCCGCAATGTTAAAGGATGTCACATGTAAACAAAAAATATAGCATAAGAACGCTCTGTCTCTCTTACACTCACTCACACACACACACACACACATAGGCTGAGCACCTTTTTCTGTTGTACGCGACTTTTGGCGAAGCCAATATAAAATTATAGAAAAGCCAAAGCAAATGTCAATATTATGATGCGATATAAGACACGTGGTATAAAAGAAAGTTGGCAAAAACTAAAAGAAAAGTCCAAACCTTCAACGTGACTACCAATAAATAAAATAGTTCAAGGACAGTTCGCTATATTAATCAATTGAAGGAGCATAGATTTCATCAATTAACAGTTGTAATTAGTTCATAAAAAACAAAGCATAGAAATCGCAGCTGATGCATAATAACAACAAATGTTTGCCAGCGCTTTCTCTCTCTCGCTCCCACTCTCACACTACAGTAAACAGCTCTCTCTCACACTTGTTTTGACGCGCTCAATTTCGAAATTGAATGTTCGAAAAGCAGCAGCAACGCTAGCAGCGCTGTCGGCGTCGGCGACAAAAGGCCATTTTGACATTCACATTGCAATCAAATAAAGAACATATATATAGAAATAACAAATTCAAGAGCAAAACTCACCTGATTTTGTACATTAATCAGCAGCTGCGCATCACTGATATTCGGCGTGAGCAACAAATTGCAGAGTACGAACCAGAGGAAACCGCGACTGTGTCTGAAGAAATGATAACAACTGACCGAACGCCTGCCGCAGCGTCGGCGTCCCGATAGGCGGCAAGTGTTGAGCACATTGCGGTGCACCGTATGCCATTTTGATGGTTTCACTTGCCGAATTCTTGGTTTTTTCGATACTAAAATCATTTCGGCTGTTTACACAGTGCAACAAAACACCGCACTTTTGTTTGCACACACACACGCACTTTGATTTTGTTTGCGTTGGAAAATTACGCGACGAATCTATGCTGATGCCGGCCGCGCACGTCCACTCACTTCGAAAGTTCAACGCAAAATAACAACAGCTCTGTAGACCATAACATAAATGCTCTCTGAGCTGACAGCAGTTTCGCTCATGAACGAACCAGTTACTGTCTGGTGAAATTAGTGCTGCTCATTTGTGCACAATAAGCGGGAATTTATTTCAAATAATATTTTTAACTAAAGAATAATAATAAGCGAAAATACGATTCATTTAATACAATGATTTAATTTCTGACCTCTTCAAGCCATCGACAGTTGCAAATTGCTTGTTCGTATGACATCTGACGTCTGTCGATAGTGAAGCATCAGCTGTACATTTCGATTTCTCTTAACAGCGTCGCAATATAAATGTATTGTGCGACCACCACACTTTCTTTGATAACAGCTGTTCCTCATGTAATGCACTAAATTAGCTCAAAACGCGTTTTGGACGCTTGTGACGTGTTGTATTTTGTAAATTATGTTTTAACATAATTAAGTTAATTAAATTCGAACTCATTCGCTGGCATTTCAATATCCAAACACAGACAGCATGTTAACATTGCGAGAACGGCAAATAAGTGCGTAATTTTTCACCTGACAACACCCAACAATTAACATAAATAATCTCCAATTCTGCCTTCGTTTACAGATGCGATTAAGCAAATGCTTAATTTAAACTCGCAGCAGCCAAAGGCAATGGCCGCGGAGCCCGTGTGGAAGATTCTCATATATGACCGCGTTGGCCAGGACATTATATCGCCCATCATATCCATTAAGGAACTCCGCGAACTGGGCGTGACGTTGCATGTGTGAGTAATTATTGGAGGGGAGGGTCAGGGTTCAAAAAAATCAAAGGTAAATGAATCATTTTGTTTATAGGCAATTGCACTCGGATCGGGACTCCATACCAGATGTGCCGGCTGTATACTTTTGCCTGCCCACGGACGAAAATCTCGACCGCATCCAGCAGGACTTTTCCAATGGCCTTTATGACATCTACCATCTGAATTTCCTGGCGCCCATCACACGCAGCAAAATCGAAAATCTGGCGGCGGCTGCCCTGCACGCCGGGTGCGTGGCGAACATTCATCGGGTCTATGATCAGTATGTGAACTTCATCAGCCTGGAAGATGATTTCTTTATACTGAAGCATCAGCAGAGTGATCAGCTCTCCTACTATGCCATCAATCGGGCAAATACGCGCGACGAGGAAATGGAGGCACTGATGGACTCGATTGTGGATTCACTTTTCGCGCTCTTCGTTACGCTGGGCAATGTGCCCATCATACGCTGTCCACGCAACAGCGCTGCCGAAATGGTAGCCCGCAAGCTGGAGAAGAAGCTGCGTGAGAATCTGTGGGATGCGCGCGCCAATCTATTTCACATGGATGCCACACAGGCTGGTGGCGGCGTTTTCAGTTTTCAACGTCCTGTGCTGCTGTTGCTCGATCGCAACATGGATCTGGCCACGCCGCTGCATCACACCTGGTCATATCAGGCGCTGGTGCACGATGTGCTCGACCTGGGCCTGAATCTCGTCTACGTGGAGGATGAGGCGGCAGCTGTCAGCACGGGCAAGTAGCCAATGTACAACTGATTTACCTGCCTCTCGTAACAATTGATCTCTTCTTTAGGCGCACGCAAGAAGCCCAAGGCCTGCGACCTGGATCGCAATGATCGTTTCTGGGTCACGCACAAGGGCAGCCCGTTTCCCACGGTCGCAGAGGCCATACAGGAAGAGCTCGAGTCCTATCGCAATTCTGAGGAGGAAATCAAACGCCTGAAGACCTCCATGGGCATTGAGGGCGAATCAGATATTGCCTTCTCGTTGGTCAACGATACGACTGCCATGCTGACCAGCGCCGTCAATTCGCTGCCCCAGCTGATGGAGAAGAAGCGTCTGATCGATATGCACACCAAGATAGCCACAGCTATATTGAACTGCATTAAGGCGCGACGGCTAGACTCGTATTTTGAGTTCGAAGAGAAAATCATGTCCAAGCAAACGCTGGATAAGCCGCTGCTGGAGTTGCTGCGCGATGCTGAGTTTGGCCAGCCAGAGGATAAACTGCGTCTGTACATCATTTACTATATTTGCGCACAGCAGCTGCCCGAGCCGGAGCTAGAGCGTCTGCGTGAAGCGCTGCAATCCGCCGGCTGTGATCTGACCGCGCTCGCCTACGTCCAGCGCTGGAAATCCATTATGAACCGCTCGCCGAGCATCAGTCAAGCCACACAGTACGAGGGCGGCGGCACCAGAACCGTTTCCATGTTCACCAAGCTTGTCTCGCAGGGCAGCTCCTTTGTCATGGAGGGTGTCAAGAACCTGGTTGTCAAGCGACATGTAAATATCAACTGAATATTAGCCAGTGAGAGAGTTAAAGCTAAATGTATTTCAAATTTCTTGCAGAATCTGCCCGTGACCAAGATAACGGAACAGGTCATGGAATGTCGCAGCAATGCCGAAACAGATGATTATCTCTACTTGGATCCCAAGCTGCTAAAAGGCGGCGATGTCCTACCCAAGAATCGTGCTCCATTCCAGGACGCTGTTGTCTTTATGGTCGGCGGCGGCAATTATATTGAGTACCAGAATCTGGTGGACTTCATCAAGCAGAAGCAAACGTCCAATGTGCACAGGCGCATCATCTATGGCGGCTCCACGCTGACCAATGCGAGGCAATTCCTCAAGGAGCTGTCCGCATTGGGTGGTGAAATACAGACGCCCACAGCGAGTTAGGAGTGGCTGCTTAACTTTCACTGCTGCTGAGCGGCCGAGGATGAGGATGAGCACGAGGATGAGACGACAACAACAAGAACTGTGTGTGTGTGTACAAGTGTGTGGCTTTTTCTTATATATATATATACACATATATATTAAGCATATCCAAAAATAAATGAAATGCAAGGCAAAAAGTGGACGGCTCTGATGCCGTGGGCAATTACTCGAACTTGACGCGTAATCCCCGAAGGACAACAAGCAAAAACATGCGTAGCCGCGTGTACAACAAGCGGCAGCTAGCTAGGAGGGGGGGACAACAACAATGGCGACAGCAGCCGCTCGCATTCTAGGCGCCCATTAACACCAACTTGGCAACGCTTTGATGGACAGCTCTGACAGACAGCAGTCAACGGCAGCACCAGAAGACGACGACGACCACGACGACGACGGCGACAACAATTATGGGGCGACAACTATGCGCGGCACTTGGGGACTGAGCCCTTGCAATTAACACCGAACACTCGAACTATGAATGGGAACAGTGGCTCCAAAACTATTGCATGCTGCACAAACTGACTAAGCTCCAAAGTTTTTAGTGCTACATCAAAATTCGATTAGCTGGCATATAAATAAATCAAGCAACAAATGCACAAAAATGTTACTACTTAAATTTTAAAATATTTATATATTGAATATGTGAAAATGAATTTCTAGTATAAATATGCATATGTATAATGTTTGCTTAAAAAATTTAACATTTATGAAAGCCTTTTGTAGAGCATCCTTTCGAATTGTTCCTTAAGACAAACGGAATAATTATATTATTACACTAATCAATTATTACAGAAATAATTTTTTTTAATTTTATGAACAGTTTTTAAATAATAAAGAAGTATTTAAAATATAAAATATTTATAGGTTTAAGTTATATATATTTATTAAGCTGGCTCGAGTCTGCGGTTAAAATCAAAAATGAAAAACAGTTGTGTTTCATATATATTTCTTAATTATTATATTAATTTATATACTTTTTAAAGAGTATGCATAATATAAAAGAAACCTAATATAATGTTGTATACCATCACGAATATTCTTCATGTTAATTTTTTTAATCTCTCAGCTAATAGCTTCAATATTTACAACATGTATCTGTCGTTAAAAGCTTTTCAGAGCTTTTAAACATCACATTAAAATGTTTATAAAATTGATTAAAAATGAATACAAAATAAATGTTGTTCTTAAATTTTTTTTAAGATATAAAAATCATACTGATAATAGTTTAAATGTGTTCTGTAAATTGGGCCACTTTTTAAATATCTTTAAACACATTTCACGGTCTTAAAATAAATAATAAAAATCAAAAATAGGCACCCAGAATTTAAATGGTATTTTTATTTTATCTATCATGGCAGACTTTTGATTCTAACTTCTATTATAATTTAGAGCCGGACAACCCGTTTTCTATATTTATTTTAACTTTTTACTCAACTGGCAATATGTGAATCATTTTGAGTATTTAGAATCTGGTTTAGTTGGTTTTGAAGCGAAGAATTATTGCCGAGTCCCGAAGATTTGTTGGAAATATATCAAGCAGCAACATTGAGTTGGCTAATTAACACTTTTCGTAAATCAGAATTGATGGCCATGTTGAAAGCGGCCCAAGACATGAAGATGAAGATGATGACGATGACGATGGTGATGGTGATGATGATGATGATGACGATGACGGGCGATGATTATTCATGGAGCGCTACGTTTAAATATTGGTTTTGGTTGGGTTGGGTTGGGTTACTGCGACGTCGGCTACCCGTGGCTACAATTTAAATGTTAACATAAACAAGAGCAATTTAACAAAAGCCCAGGCCCCAAATCCCAAGCCCCCGAAACCCAAAGTGATTTCACGGGTGGTCCAAAAAGATGCGCTCAAACAAATCATAAAATCGTATGGAGCAAAAACCTACAACAACAAAAATAAGAAAGAAAGAAACTAACAACGCAACATGAAAGAAATGCTACTCGTACAGCCATGAATCGATTATGTGGCCACTGCTTGTGTCTGTGGGTGTGCGTGTGTGTGTGTGTAAATATTGTTGAGGCACATAAAGAACCACAGCGGCGAGGTAGCTGAAAAATGGTCTGAGGCTGCCGTTTCCCACATTCCTGCTGCGAAACATAATGGCTGCCGCTGTCGTCGTCTTCATCGTCGAACCACACATATGTATATACATATGCATGTATATATATATATATATATGCGGCCTTACATATGTACATACATATATCATAATCTTAACAACTCTTAACAAGGCTGAACAAATTCCAAAATTCGAAGCGCCTCGTCAGGCGGGCAGAGCCCAACAAACGGCCACAGCCAGTCAGACGGCCACAGAACAACGGACAAAGACTACAAAATGAAGTGGCCTCTCACACACAGACACAGACACACACGC